CGTGTGTGTGTACTTGCCAATACTTTTTCCAGTACCTATCCCCGTACTCGTACCGCAGCAGTTACTTAGTTACCGCAACACAGTCTTAAGTCTCTCCGTGTGACCCGCCCCCCCCCCCCCCCCCCCCCCCTCACAAGCGCACATCGTGCCGAAGACCGTGGCGAAGACCGTGGACCATCTCCTTCTGCGACCCCTGAATCCGCCGGCAGGCAGGCAGGCAGGGGCCGCAGTCAGCAGGCTTAAGTGCCTCCGCACCACCGCCGTGCGCAGCAAGCAACAAGCAAGCACACTTCAAAAACCGGTAGCGGTATGTAGCGAACGAGCAGGCGGTGAGTGATGCGTGCATATAAATACCGTGCCAGAGCTTTCGAAATCACATTATCTAGCGCAGCCTGTGGCCTGCAGTCTGCGGCCTGCGGGGGAGAGGGGTAATATACGGGATATTTACTGAGTATCCAGGTGCGCAGGTGGGCGTACTGCCAGTCAGCTGCAGAACCTGGGTTGGAACTTTGAACTATGTATGAATGTCCCGACTTTCCGCGAGATTCGAGAATCCTGCTTCGTGCAGTGCAGTGCGGTGCGGTGCGGTGCAATGCAGACGTGGACCGTTGGGCCGGGCGGAGGCTTTTTTTCCTTCTTTTCTTCTGGGAGCAATTTCGAAAGCAAGTTCTCACATCATATCGGTCCCAGGGCTCTCTCTCTCTCTCCTACCCCACTTCCGCAGTGGCCGGGTTCGCGGAGGATCTCGTGTTTCCTCCCTTCCATCCATCCGCAAGTTTCATCCAGCGAGCGAGCGGACGGGAAGCGGAAGCGGTAGGCCCATCTGCCTGTTTGAACTTTGACCTTTGTTGACCGGTCCGTCTGGTCTATACGCCGCGACCCCCGCCTTTCCGGGTGCGCCGCGGCGTGCTTCTATGCCTGGCGAACCACCTCCTTCCGCTTCCTCATCGGATCACCACATCGCGAGGGGCATCAGGATCAGGCGGCGAGGTGAGGCGAGTTGAGTGGGAGGAAATGGTCAGAATAACGTGTCACATACATCCATCCGAAAGAAAGAACGAAAGAAAGCAAGCAAAAAAACTGCAATTCAATATCTAGATTTATATTAGCCTACCTCATCGCTGCAGGAGTCGTGCAGATACCGCACATACACTGCACACAACATTAACGTTCAACGGGCCTGCATGTGTGCGATCCCGGAATCCAATCCACCCATCCATCCATCCATCCATGCACAGCCTGAGCGGAACTTTGGTATGTACTGTACAGGCTGGCTGGCTCCACACCGCCCCCTCGCGGTGGATGGATGGAGATATGTACTTTGCAAGTACATACTTCATAAGTATGCAATATAGAGGTATTATACTGCGCAGGTAGTAGAGCGCTCTGTTATCACGATATCAGCCGAGATTGCCCGAAAAGGTACCTACTCGCAATCCGATGCAAGTCTATGCAAGGTACCATGGGGTATCTAAGGAACTATCGCTGGGTCACAAAAATTATATAGACTATAATTTTCCGTGAGTGAATGTTGTGCGCCGTCAGCTCCTGCTGCTGCTGCTGCTGCTGCCGCTGCTGCTGCTACTGCGGCCTCGAGGCATGCCATGCACTGAGTGATCGAGTGACCGCCAGTGGTTAGCTACGTAAACAACCAACCAACTGGCAACTGATGATGTCCATTCCTCAGATCGTCGGCGTTACTCAGGGTCCGCTAGACTAGGCATTTAGCGCTAAAGTGTCGACACGAGCGGTACTTCCCGTGGCGCGCTCCTGAACGGGCGGAAAAAGACCTTCGAACGAGGCGGAACTGGCCTGGAGCTCGGCTGATTACCCGGATCGATCGCTACATACGAGTCTACGAGTTGCGACTACTAATCCCTATTCGGTGTTTCAGTACTATCCTCCGACGAGTGGGGCGGGGCTACGCGCAGTGTATCCCGAGGTACATGCTCCTCAGGTGATGGGGAGGTACCTGTAGATTTTGTGTATCATAGGGTTCAAACCTGCCGACTCTACCGTATTGTACATACGTACTGGACCCTAATCATACAGCTGAAACATAACGCCGTTAGTTACGGGTTGCTCGTACATACACTTCCAACACTTTTTTGAGCGGTGTGGAGTCCTCCCAGTCCTCTCTCCCTTCCTCACCTCCGACGATTGCAGACCATCCAACAATTCTTCGGTGTGGAGTCTCTCCCTCCGGTCCGCCGATTACGAACGACCGGTTCGAAGCTGAGTGTGCTCTAGGTATTGGTGTGGGGTCCCCATGTTTTTTCTGAAAGTTTCGCTTGATATGGACGTTGCAAGTGGTGGGTGTACAAAGTATGTATCAGGTCCCACCACTGGCGCCGCGGAAATGGATGGGGGTTTGCCGTGTACAGTACTTACATATGGGCGGGTAAACTAACTATCAACGATCCCATGATGTCAACAGTCAGCGAGAGCCGCCGCGCCTTCCTTCTGCATTCGCGGCTGCAATTTCGGCGAAAATCCAGGCGGAACCTCCGTCTTTGGGTGTGGCGGAACTTGCCTTTGTGTTTCGCGGGTCGCTTCGCACGCTTACGGTCGGGTATAGTTACATAATGTAGGTGGTATATACTGTGAGTCTGTGATGAACGCAGCTTGCCAGCCAACCAACACATCTCGGAGTTGAAGTCTGAGGCGAGGCGAGTCCGTCTCTGAAGAATCCACTGGTTTCGTTGGTTCGCTCGGGGGAAGGGGTAGAGGGGAAGGGGTAGAGGGGAGGGCACTTTACCGCGTTCGGACGAACCGACTCACACTGGGAGAGGTCCTACTGTCTCAGACTCGGAGAGCGAGTCAGATTTGAACGAATTCCCCGGCTGACTTGGTGAGCGATCTGGGAGGGGGGGATCTGGATATGGAACCGCTACAGAGGAGGATTAGGAACAATTCTATGCTCCGGCGTGCCCAATTTCCAAACGGGGGCGGCGAGTTTTCTCGAATTGGCGACACCTGCGCTCTTTGAGGTCGGAAAGTGGGGTGGGTCTACCAGTATTAGGTTGTGGTTACGTAGGTGGGTAGTTCGCGAATGCAGGGCCTCGGTGATTCATGCTTAAGTCGCGGGTCTGACGGGGGTAATTACGGTATGCTAGGTACCTACAAAAGCTACTGGGACGAGGCGCGTAACGACTTTCGGAGGGTCAGTTTGTAGTGTACCTAGAAGAAGGACTCTCGGAGGGTCAGTGTAGAGTAGATACATAGAAGGTTCAAGGACGAAGCCCGTGGTTTCTAGATGCTAGCTTGTAAGGCGAGGCGACTCTGCAACGCGGCATGGAGGCCAGTACGATGCAAGGATCAGCTCGCGTGCTTGCTTGGATGTTGCTTGATTCGCCCTGTCGGCGCCCCCTTCCCAAAAGTCACGAGGGGGTTCCAAGTGTGCTCGAATTGAGTGATGGGGGAAGCTTGGCTGTCGGCCTTCGGTGAGCGGAAACCGGGCCCTGTCGTGTCGGCCAGGTAACCCCAAGTCAACCCACACACCTTTGTAGCTACTTTCATGCCTGCTCTGCATGCGGCTTCGGATCTGCACCTTTCGGAGCGACGGAGAGACAGGATCCACACCACATTCTTCCATGATACTAGCATGAAGTATATTTCCAACTGCTGACATGTGAGACGGAGCTAACCACCACCACGGCCAAGGAATCAGCCAAGACAGCACGGGGCTGAGAAGCCGGCTCCGAGCAGTGGAGTCCGCACAGAGTTTACGGGTATGTACCGGCATCACACATACCGGTATGATATAGGTATCGGTGGGACTGCGGAATTGCTGCGAGAATACGATTTCACGGAGAAGATTGCCTACCTTGTGGGCTGTTTGAGGCTTTTTGAGGGGATTCCGAAGCCCTTTCGAGCACCGATAGCCGTGGCAATAGTGCTCGGTGCAGTTCGTATCGTTGCATACATACATTATACATATCTACTTCACATGTACATCAGGGATACATTCCGCCCCACCGGCGAGTTGAGCCTTCCCCTCCCCCACCGAACTGCGGTTTCAACTCTCAACGTTCCGGAAGCCCTCGATTGTTAATAGCTCATGCAAGCAAGCGCACACATCCGATTCCATCTCCGAGCGAATATCGCACTGTTTGTTCGGGAGCAACCCGTGGCAGATGTACTATACGGGCTCCACTCCCATGATGTGCACGATCGGACCCTGCCGGGAAACAGTCGTGCGTGCTTCCTTCTCGTGATCTATCCTAAAACATGCTTGACTCTATAACACCTATAGTACCTGCTGCTATCCCGTCCTTCGTACGGAGCGATTTCGATCACACTTGGCATGGCCGGCCTTTTGTCCACCACCACCGCCAACACCGCCACCACTGCAAAACTTCACCCGATCCCGTCAGCGCATCAATTGATGGAGGCATAATAAGCGATCGAGAATCCACCATGACCCGCGTCCGGGGAATGTTTCTTTTTCTCGATACGAGTGGAAATCGAATCGGTTGGTATACATATTCGCGGTGGCGATGCGCGATAGGTCTTCTGCCGCCGAAACTTACGATCGAGGGGGAAAACAAGGTGAAAGTACTCTACCCCACAGGATGATCAAGGAACAGAGCAACGTCACGCTACAATATGGTCGGTAGCGTCGCTGGGCAAATCACTAAGCATCTCCGTGGTTGTCAACCATCTTTCTGCCTCCGCTTAGCTATGTGAGGTATCACCGCTTACATACAAGCGGGTATCTCCGTTCGATACCCGCGCTTTGAAATGCGGCGAGTGCAACATCGTCGACGAAGCCGACCGCCAACCGTACACCTACCGCCAGGCAACGTGCTCTCTTCCGTGGAGGTTTTTCTGATGATGCTTCTATCGTGGGGAACCTTCGAGAACGCACAGACATAGACTACTCTACCAAGGCACTTAGTTGATTCCACCGCCGCGCGCCTTACAAATCGTCGTCTTGTTAACTCCGCGTGCTTGGAAAAAAAATTTGGCTATCGACGACGTAAGTGATCGCGCATAGCTCGATATATATAAACTCAATTCCCCAACAAGATGGCGACAATTTTAAACCCATTATTGACATCATCACGAATCCCACATCCTACCCCACCATACACCTACCCCACCAAACACATATCGCGTCAATGGCTGCTCAGAACCCCACTTCCGGAAAGGCTTGGCTCATCACCGCCACCCAGGGCGGTCCCGAGGCGTTGAAGCAGGAGACCAGAGATGTTCCTAAGGTCGAGGCCAACGACGTGTTGGTGAAGATGAAGGCGGTGTCGCTCAACTACCGGGACTTGATCATCCCGCAGGGAATGTACCCGTTCGGTTAGCACATACCATCCGAACCGAGCTCCACCGAAGGATGTCCCCGCTGACTGACCACCGTACTATGCTAGCCGTTAACACTCCCGTCATCGCCACATCCGACGGTTCGGGCGAGGTTATCGCCATCGGCTCAAAGGTGACGGAGTTCAAGGTCGGCGACATGGTATCCAGCCTGTTCCACCAGGGCCACCAGTCGGGACTTCTGGACCCCCGGAGCATCAAGACCGGACTCGGCGGAGCCCTCGACGGTTGTCTGCGGGAGTACGCTCTTTTCCCCGAGACGGCGCTTGTCCGTGCGCCGAGCAACTTGAGCTTCGAGGAGGCTGCTACCCTCCCCTGTGCCGCTGTGACCGCGTGGAACGCCCTCTACGGCAACGCCCGCCCGCTGAAGGCTGGAGACTCCGTTCTCGTCCAGGGAACCGGAGGTGTCAGTATCTTCGCGTTGCAGGTAAGAGAAACCCCCGATGGGATTTTTTACGGCCCCGGGTTTTTCTGACAACTATCACGTTTAGTTCGCCAAAGCTGCCGGTGCATTCGTTATTGCCACCACATCATCCGACGCAAAGGCTGAGCGCCTGAAGGCTCTCGGCGCCGATGTTGTCATCAATTACAAGACCGACGCTAATTGGGGCGAGATCGCCCGCAAGCTGTCTCCCCGTGGAGAGGGTGTTGACATCGTCGTCGAAGTTGGTAAGTTTACTCGCTTCCATGCAGGCAGCAAGAAAAACCCCCCAGAACCAAAACCAGAAACCAGCCAACTAACGGCGTGCAGCTGGCGAGATTACCCTCCCCCAATCCTACGAGGCGGTCAAGATCGAGGGCACCATCGCGATGATCGGCTTCGTCGGCGGCGCCGGCAACGGCGGCTCCGCACTGGCACCATTGACCCGCGTGTGCACGATCCGCGGAGTGTACGTCGGCTCCAAGGCGCAGATGATCGACATGAACAGCTGCATTGAGGTCAACAAGATCCAGCCTGTGATCGACTCCGAGATCTTCGACTTTGAGCACGTCAGGGATGCGTACAAGTACATGATGGCGCAGAAGCACTTCGGTATGTGGCTGCAATTCTGGCCGAGATGAGGGGTTGGGGGGTACAGATGCTGACTGTCAATAGGCAAGGTTGTGATTAGAATCTAAGCGGCTGATGCGTCGCGACGAATGATGAATGTAATTTATATTGGAAGGAGTCATATCGTACCCTACGTACATACGTAACGAGACAGGAACGGTCATTTGCATGCTAAACAGTTGATCTCATTCAAACCAAAACACATGATCGCCACCCGCCGCCGAATCGAGATGCGGATAAGAATTGAAATTCCATGATATCATCAGTGGGACGGGGCGGGGGAGATAATCCGAAGATCACCGGTGAGCTTCTTCCGGGCATTGGAGCATCCTGAATAACCAGCCGTGACCTCGTTCAGGGCCCTGGGGGCCCCAATATAAGTTAGCGGACCCAGAGGTCAACGACTAACTCATCCCTACGATCCGGAAGAAGAAGAGAAGAAGAAGAAAAAGATCTCTTGAATTCCGCGTACCCACTCTACCGTAGAGTACTGTACATAGACCCTTTGATCTCGCATGTGCTATGAACCAGTGAATCCAGCTGGGTATGGGGATACCGGTTCCGATCCTTGACTGGCGACTCTTCGCCGCATCGAAGAATCCCTCAAACCAGGAGGAGAGGCTAGGACTCCACTATTCGCTACAGCAAACGGAGACTTCGGTGCGGGTACGCTGGGGATCTCTCTTCCCTTCACTATTTCCAGTTCCAGTCCCCTTCCCCCATAGAGTAATCGAAGCCACCCCGTAGAGAAATTGGAATAATCTATCCAGGTAGCAGGTAGCATAAAGTACAGCGCGGACCGGGCCGCTGGTCGGCGGGTGATGTCTCATGTCTCATGTCTTATGAGGCAGACAGCTCGCATCCTGCTCGTTTACTTTCTCCCGGTGACGAGACTCGAAACGTTGAAACTTCGGATAAGCTTCATGAGGACTCAGGAGGCGGTGGAGGACCGGTCTGGACTGAACTAGATCATAGGTAGGTTGGTACCTAATGTGTGTATGGATGTAGGCCGCAGTAAAGTTTCCCCGAAACTTGTTACTTCACTGCAGCTTTCCAGCCTGATGGGATGGGTAGGATGGGGTAAGACGGGTAGAACGGGTACCTAGAGTATCGAGCAAGCGAATCGTCCGACCGTGGTGACTGGGCCGGTAACGAGTGCTCACGGCGGCCCCAAGTCATGGCACCACTGCTCTGCACACACACACTCTCTCTCTCTCCTCGTCAGGAACCAACGGCAGCTGTATCTCTTCGCAGCTTCGCTAGAAGAGGTGTGACTGTGACCATCGATAGGATGGGTAGGATGGATTATCGAGCAAGCGAGTCATCAAAGTTCCAACCGACCGTCGTCCGGGGGTGTTGCAGTGTTCACGGCGGCCCCAGTTCATGGCACCACTACTCTGCACTCTCTCTTTTCTTCAGGAAGCGACGGCTACTGTATCCCTTCGCAGCTTCGCCGCTTCGCTAGAACAGCCGTGACCGTGACCACCATCCCCCTACCCCCCAAGTGCCGTCCCCTGGGCCTGGAGCCTGGGTTCATACAGGCAAAACAGTCGGTATCTCGATCTTCAAAAACTCGGTATTGGCAAAACTCATTACTAGGTATATAGCAACGTCTACTTATCCTGATCGCCGCCTGGGTTCGGGGTGACTAGTGCGGTTGCTTCCGCTTATCCGGTGCTTCAAGGGAACCGTATGCATCATACGTACCGTCCATCCACTTCGCTTCATCAGCAGCTCAGCTTACATATCGAACCGAACGGCTCGGGAACATTCTGAAACCGTTCCGCGTACACAGTACTCCAGAGTACTAAAAACTAAAAACCACGCGGTCGAAGAGACGGCAAAAAGAGAATTTGATTCAGCCGGGATTTGAACCCGGGTCGGGCGCAGAATGCTGGTGGCAAGCGCCCATGATACCCCTACACTACTGAATCCACGGTGTATGTGTCGTCAGGCCAGATATACCGCGAAGATGATCCGGCAGCGTGTTGACTGGTGTCCGTACGGGCCTGAGTTGTGGATCCGGCGCTGGAATACCGGCGATTTCGTATCCCCCTCCCCACACCCAGGCTGGGCTACGCAGGTAACTACGCGGTTGCGGGGATGTATTGGAGCCAAATAAGATTCAAGTACCGACCTCGCATCTACAGCCAGGACCCATGACCCGGGACCCGGGTAAGCCGTACATTCCAGTGTCCAGTCTAGTCCCTCCGGACCGTCTGGGCCGAATCTCGGCAGACATTCCGAGACGCAGTGTCTACGCTGACGGATTGTCGGTAACTACCTATGTGTCCTTTCCTTGCTAGGTATGTTAAGAGTTTCGAATAAACAGCGGGCAGGCGGGCGGGCTGGCGGCCACATCGACATCCCGCAGTTCCTAGATTGCTCAGGACGGGGAAGAACTCGAGCCGCGAAGGGGTGTATAGAATTAGATGGCCGGACGGACGGGCCCAAAGATGGCCGCGCGCGCGCCGCAGTCGGGACTCGGGACGCACGGCCGGGAACCCGGGTACGAGTGATGCATGGTGAGTTCGTCGTCGAGAAGCATGAATGGCACCTGGAGAGGCAGAGTGAACCCCTCCAATGGAGACCTAGCATAACGCCGAGTTTTTGTTACAGATAGGTGCGCGGAAGCCGGTTTCGTAGTTCGCCAGATCTACTATAGTCCCCCCAGCAGTGTTCTCCATCGTCCGGTCCAGGCGGCCGTCCGGACGGAACGGACGGCCAATACGCCGTCGCTTACGAGCCTGAGACGGACGGTTGCAAAAGTTTTCCGTCCGGTCCGATGTGGTACCGGACGGGGTCGGTCCCCGTCCGACAGTGGAGGACGGCCGTCCAAGTCACATGAATATGATTCGGCTGATTGATAATTTCTTAGCACCGGTGTCCTATAAACAACCGCGTCAACTCATCCCTCACCGCTCCACAAGCTGGGAAAAGTAGCAGTATTCTGACTCGGACGCGTAAGGTGCGGCGCCCGGCCCCTATCACAGCGCCCTAATCACCTAATCTCACTCGGACACCCAAGGTCCACGCCCGAAATCGGGTTCTTGTCCAAAGCTTGGCGGACGGCGGCCGACGGCCGTGCTGCGCCGTCCGTCTCATCCGTCCGCTGAAAAAACCTTGGCTGCCACGTCCTAGGTTCGGACGGACGGGAGTCATGCCGTCCGTCCTCGTCCGAGGCCCAGGATGAACGGACCGGACGATGGAGAACACTGGCCAGTCTTCGTATCATAACTTGTTTGGGTATGATGCTTCTTCGCATGGCTCTCTTTCCTATTTCAACGGTTCTAACCATCGAATAGATAGCCAATTCTCTTCGGTTCTCCTTGGTACGCCGTTTGTTTTTCGGAGTCACCATGGTGGAAGCCAAGGGGTTGCTCCATCGAGCCGACTCCTAAGCCCGGGACCGGACGTCAGACAGGATAGCCCGGAGTGTGTATATTGGACGATCTATTCTAGCTACCTAGCTCGCACGCAATCAATGTTTAAGCCACAAAAAGATACAGTCTAATCTCACGCCATGATTAAACAAACCAAACCAAAGCACAGCCCAAACTCACGAGCCTTCTCAGTTCCGGCGCCCTCTCTCCCGACGGTCGCCAGTACATACCGGCGCCTACCTTACCCGATCAGTATTCAACATAGTCCAGTCCGTCCGTCCTGAGCCTCGGGCTAGACGGGACCAAATCTTGGCAGTCCGGACCGGACTAAGTATGTCGAACACTGAATTATCCGATTGATCCCGTGATGCTCTGTGATCTGAACTGCTTTTAGGCGTAATGTAGTCAGCACCGAGAGGCAGAGGAATTTGGGAGTAGGAAGACACGCATGAAACAGGGAGATTGTCCAGGTACTTTTGTTTGTAGCTGTAACTTGTATCCTAGAGGATTGGGTGCCCGTACATGCTAATACTGGACACTGAACCTTAACTGTTCCAATGACGAAACATTGCCGGGAAATCATACTCCGGATATGCCGAGTTGTTCTTCTGTGTCATGTCTCTTGGTCAGAGCCTACGCGGTGGCATTCTCGAACTCGAAAGGCGAGAGCTGATTCCCACGATTGGCGCTGTGTTTCATTGGTGTCGTAGCGATGAGGTTCGATCGCCAAGTGTGATGTTGGACCTAAGGGAGAATAAGCGTTGAGGGAGGAGGGAGGAGGAAGGGTCCATCGGTCTAGACATTCCAAGCTTCGATCAGCGTTGATGCGCGAGTGCAGATCCATCAATGGATCACTCGGCCACGCTCTAAATACTCGAATGTCCGTGTGACGGAGTGACGGAGGAGCTGTCGGCGGGAGGAAAAGAATATGGTTAGTGTTGAGGTTCCGGCGGCGCCGTAGGTGGCCGAGTGATCGATGGTGGAGTGGTGGGAGCGGCGGCGGATAGCAGAGCCCAGATATGAGTTCGGCATCAAGAGCCTAGATGTGGACTCGGCACCAAGAGCCGAGTTTAGTCGGCATCGAAGTTTTCACTGTCTATATAACACACTATCCTTTCCATTGTATCAGTCTATTCATATTCGTATCAGCAGGTAGTAGTGCGCATCAAAATTGGTGGGCATCGCGGCGTCGGTCAAATGAGGAGGGGGGGAGGACTGAAACTAGCACCCGCAGGTTTTCTTCTTCTTTCTTGATAATCATCTATCGAATAGGTAGACGGCCAACACTTCATCTTTGCCCTCTCCTCTGTGTGTGCTCCCTTTCTCGGCACGCCTGTCGGACGAGAGCACTGCCAAGGAGTCAAGAACTGGTACATGGGCGGGGGAATAATAGTTATGTAACCATGACTATTGAGTTTGGGGTGGAGTTTTGGATTTTGCGGACGACTGTATGTAGGTACGTTAATCACTCGGATGCATCATACGTTCAAATGCCAGGTAAACAGATTTACAAGACAAGATGCAAAAGCCGGTGCTATCTACCCTATTGTTTCCCCGAAACTGAGAGGGCTGTGGCGAACTGCTGTCTATAGTAATAATCCGATTTACCGTCGCGGACTGGTTGTTAACCGTTGTTGGTCTGCAGGAACGGCGATTACACCGCTAAGCTGTTTGCGCGGATCTACTCTAGAAGACGGCCATCTAGCTAGCACAAATCATCTCAGCGTGCCATTTGAAATTACATAGTACATACCGGGCACCTCTATGCTCGTACGCGGGCTATATGATCCTCATATGATCTCCGGGTGATCTTTCATCAATCTAGTGGCGAGAACCGGACGGAAGTCCGTCGATTTGGTAGCGTAGGTATGGTTCATTGCGCCCGCAATGATCCGCCCGATCCAGGTTCATGGCCTGTTCTCTTTCTCTATATACTTCCTATGTCTTCCTGGGATACCGTATATTAAAGACTTAGGTATCTTCGGGTGGCGGGAATGTTGCGGCAACTTGCAAGGCCGAATGAGCGAGAGCTAGGATGGCCCATGGAATAACGTACCTACCGTACCCTGTATGCCATCTCGGGAGGCGACCATGAGGCGTAGCAAACGGTTTCCGGAGCTGGAACCAGAGCTTGACCTCGCGCTAGTGACCTGGCCATGTGGAGTTTACTAGTAGAGAAAGGTGGAAACATCGAATTGTCTTACTAGGATTGAACGGGGAAGCTTTCTGGGCGGAGTATCGGTTCTATGTAGGAGCAGTAGTTAATCGGTCGTGAAGTTTGAAGGGTAGTGAGGCCAGGAAGTATGAAGTTGCTGAAGCGTGAAGAACCACTACGGATGCTTGCGACAGTATTCGGCCTCCGGGATTCGCTCCGGCGTTTCGAACTCCTGATCTACGGTAGTGGGGAAACAGAAGCTCCATATCCCGATTACCATCTCCATCACCATGACACCATCTCGGCCCCCAGTGAGTGCAGTTGTTTAAAGCTAAGCTTACATCCCTCCCGTAATCTCATCCACTCCACCGCTAAAGTTGAGTACATAGAGCACCAGTTCCACGTTCCACGTTTGGCACTCGCCCCTGGTTCCCGGTCGTCGGATCTCTGTGGCCAGATTTAGATAGGTACATACTCTGAGAGTGAGACATCCTGTCGCATCAACGACATCCCTCTTCCCGGGTACATATGTACTCTCGTCGAGCACATAGTTACTGCATAGAACAAACATAATCACGTTTCGAATGATGGGTGGTGGGAATGAAGCGCCGCTGACTGTGGATCCGGGAATCAATAGCTCTGCCGAAAACACACGCGAGCCGGTAACTTAGTACTCTCTCGCCAAGGCATACGCGTAGTTATGTGCACGTCCCCCTTATCCTCCGGTGGATTGAATGGAAGGAAAAAAAATCTCGCGCACGCATTGGAGCCGCCGGCACGATCGACCTCCGAGTAGAGCTGAGCCCCCTCCACCCACTTACCGATGATTTCTAATGGCTGGGTAGGTTTCATTGAGATTATCGAACATAGGAAGTAGGTAAGCTGAAGTTGTCATTGCACGTTGAATGACGGAGTTTTTGATATGAGCCATAAAAAATTGCTCATCGTCGTGACGTGATGCCAGAATCAAAACCCCGTAATGTATATGAGTGTGTGTAGTATACTGCCCCATATTTCAAACAGTGAAAACGAAAGAAAAAAGAAGAGAAAATTCCATAGGCCATGAAAGAAATAAAAACACCCATTGCATCCAATCCAGCCCCATGCCCGTAGTGCGCCATAAAACAAGCCAAAAACCAAAAGTAAACAGATGCCAATCATAACGAGCGAGTATGTAATGCCTATAGCCATTGTGTATGATCATTTGTCATGCGATAATCCTTCGACCGCTGCTCAAGCTCGAGCTCCTCTCTCGTCGGCGTGCCAGGCGGTCTCCTGGTCATGTCCTTCTCGGTGTTTACCAGCTCCACATAGCTATTGAAAGAGAAGCGCTCATCCTTCAGCACCGCGGCGCCGGGCATCCGCGTCGTCGGCGGCGGCGGGGTGTTGACTTCCGTTAATGACTCTAGCGGAATCGTATTCGATGGTCGCCGCGGCTTCGATAACCGCCGCTGGAAACTTTGCCGCCGGAAGAGATCGCTGAGAGAGTCGCGCGTGCGGGATCGTGTCCCCTCGGCATCGCTGGTGTCGCCGCCGCCGCCGCCGCTGCGCTCCTTTTCGGAGCGTACGGCACTGCTGAGAAGGCCCGGTAGGACGCGACCGAAGAGCGTTTTTAACGACGGGAGGGAGGCAGTGGTGATACTGATGGTGGCTTCCAGTTGGCCCCAGATTGTTGGGTCAATTCCGTCCCCTAGGATATTCCGTCAATGACTTTTCTTTTATGGGGAGGCCTGGAGAGCATACAAGAGGCTTCATAAGAGCTTGTCCATTTCGGAATGTACACCATCCTGACCATGGAGCAGATGCACGCCACTCCTCCGAGACAGAACATCAACACGACGGCGCTCTTCTTCTGCCACGACATTTGCAGGCCGACCACCATCCAGATGGGCAGGGCCAGCAGTGCCACATCCGATACCACATGGATTCCCGAGGTGATGTAGTAGAATGGGCCGTAGTCGAGACATGTCGAATCCGGATGCAGTCGCAAGGAGAGGTTGAAGCCAGATGCGACGGGAGAGCATTGGAAGACGTAGGCGAAGACGCAGCTGAGGGCGAAGGCTATGTGGAAGGCAAAGTATCCGTAGATGGTGTATCGAAGTCCCGGTTTGCAGTGCGGTCCGGCTAAACGCTGTACGAAGAATATGATGGACATTTTGACGAAGAAAATTGCTATTGCGTATATGACCGCGTGAGGAATGATCAACTATCGCAAAAAAAAAACTGTCAACGAGGGTTCATCTTCGATCCCCCTCCCAGCCGAGTGGATCCTATACCTTGGTTCCTTCAACAGCTTCTTTGTATGTCACGTCCCATCCATGCTTCCCGAGTCCGCCAACATATGCTGTGCAAATGTTGTTCACGGTCAAGCCAGCGGCGAATAACTAACGGTGATGTCAACAAACAGACCCCTCTGCCCCCTGGACATAATCCGAGCGTCCAGTACCCCAGTGCCCAACGAACCGTAGCGGGTATAATCATCCAATCATCCATCCCCAACCAGCCAGACACGATCCTCCTCGTCACCAGCCTTGCTATCGCCACGACCAGAGTGATGCTCATCGATACGACGCATACGATCAAGATCTCGGATTGTCGATTTTCCGGCACGTATCCTTCAAAGAAGCTCGGTGGTATGAATCCCTTCGGGAAAGCATGCATTCCCGCCGCCTGTCCCTGTGATATGGCTATCAACGCCGCATATCCTGTCGGTGCCGTCCATGTCGATGTTGTCGTTGATGTTGTCGACGTCGGCGAGGCCATCGTGGGGGCCGTCGTAGTGACTGAATATCGAATTCGTAGGGTAGTAACCAGCCGTTATATGTACCTAATATCCAAGTAGATGGAAACGGGGGAGGAGATGGGCGGGTGTGGGGTGGGCCGCCTTTATTGAAGGCCGGCAAGCGGGGAACCGTTAATCATTCACACCTCTCCCGCAAGGATATGAGAAACTTGGGAGCTTATGTATCAGCGCCAGAACCTGTCCCCCCCCCCATTTCCCCGTAACTACTCTACTCTTGCGCTTCACGCCGCCAAGTCCATGCAATTCCAGTCCGTTGATTATTCTTCCCCGGATTCCAGCTGCTCGCACCTCGTACAACCCAGCTCGAGCCGACCTGCTTGCTTCCGTAAGACCAGATGGAACCTAGCCCCGATCCATCACTTTTTTCTTTCTTTTTTTCTTTCTCTGGGGGGTGGGAGGGGGCAGTGTACGCGTTCGCTTCTCGTCGGGCGTCTATATATCCAATGCATATCGCAGCGAGCCAAGCACGATAAGGCCTCGGCTGAGGTAGGCCCCCCAGGCCTACATAGGAGGGTGGTTACGGAGATCTGAGAGCGATATCACCACGACATATAGGTAGCTCACTCACCTGCATTGTCGATCGCTGTTGATGGGACCGAAGACGTGGAGAAGGAGGTGCGGATTTGCAATCTTTCCCTACGTACGAGGTATGTACGTACTCTACTATATCGTGTCAACTCTCGTTTCAGAGATCAACGAAGTTGTACTATAGTTACCAAAGCCCCCCGCACGGTCCAGCAGCACCAGCACCAGCACTCGGCGCGAACATTCGGGGGAATTCATCTCGCTCCAGAAATCACGTATGATCCACCAGGCGTCCAGACCGTTCTCCTTCTCACGATATCCCACCGACATCTCCGAACTACGGCGCCAACAATCTCGAAATGAACCGAGACGTCGCTTGGGAGCGCCAAGGTCGACTATTAATCCTCCATCAACGCGGACGTCGAGTATTTGGTTACCGCAAACGCATGTATGTCTGAGACTTTAGTGTCAGTCATGATGGGTAAATACCATAGGGCTTGGCTACGTTGCCTGTTCGCGACTAGAGTCAGCACGTAGTTACCGGTACTCTAGTTGGCTGGGATGACAGGTGGCCCCACATCGGTTGGTGTTTGACGGCCGACCTACCGCAGATTCCAGTTCATCCTGTGGTCCATCAAAGTGGAACACAGTTGGTTGGTTAGTTACCATCTCATAGGAAGCAAGGCTTCATGCAACTTCGCCAGAGAGGATGGTTACTCGCCCACCCAGCAAGTCGAGCAACCTACCGTAGTTACATATCTCCCACGTTGACTGCGGGTTTACCGCCCGCTGCTGCTGCTTCAGCTGACGGAAAGGGGCCATCGCGGTGCGGCAGATGGGGTATAGCAGTTACTGGGTGCACTGCCGTTCGACCGCATGTTCAAAGCGACGGAGTGAACACCCACAGTGAGCCGAGAACATGGAGCACATATTTGAGCTGAATGTCGGAGTGCACACCGCCTTCGGGATCTGTCTAGACAGTCAGGCAGAACCACTGGGGGTTGGGAAACTCGAGAAACTCCTGTCCGGCATCCACCAGTTTCGTCCATCTAGGTACTTTTTACTGTCGGGTTAGCCTATGTAGTGAGGCGTCGCCTAAACCACGGTACTAGTAAAGAGCTAAAGTGCTAGCTACCGTCCCGAGGTGGGGGGAGAACTAAATCCATACATACAGCTCTGGACATCTTCTCACTAGATATACCCATAGTACTCTGCCTAGGCTCTATAGTAATCAGAGTAGGTATGTAGAGTGGATTTCCATAACCACAAGCGTGGGCTCTAGGAAGGTAACTATTAGTATTATTTAGCATCCCAAGCAAATGCCTCTTCTCGAATCGACATCTGTCGCTTACCACAGCAGAAGACCCAGCCGTGCTTCACGGAACAGTCCTACTTGACCCTCCCCTCTAGCCGTCGGGGGAGGTGGAGACTCTGATTCTCCCGTCCCATGGGATGCCTTTTTAATCATCCGGCACACTTATACATATGGTACCTAAGCGGCCGCATAGTCTTCCATTCCTCAGCTTCCAGTGGGCTCACTTTTCGACCAGACTCCCAGACCCCATGTTCGAGCGACACTTCGGTTAGACAAGAACAGATATCTCAGCCAAGCCGCCGGGTTCTCGGAGTTCGGTAGATATCGTCCATGCAGGAGGCGAATCCTTGCGACATGCGACTGCAACTTGAGATGAGTTTCGGAGGGAGGTGTGTGGAAGCAGAGGTGGAGGCGGAAGTAGAGGTGGAGGTGGAGGACCGACGGGCGGAGCTGGTTACTGTTTCTGGCAATGGTGGTGAGTTTGCTCGACGGGGCGGTGCCGATAATGTTGATTCATCATTCCCGTGAAGCCGAGATCGATTCCTGGCAATGAAGAGAAGTGCACAAGGTACGTATAACGGTATCACAGGTGTCTTCAGGCTTCTGCACATTAGCAGTCGGGCTCCTCTCGCACGTGGACTACGCATGGCAACCGCCTGTCGTCCTCCTAGCGACTGCACGTCCATGTCCGCCATGCCATGCACTCTCACCCTCCCCTTCTTCGGCCGCCCAGCTCGCTAAACAACGGTCAACCAAGCCCCCGACCGCCGAACTCCCCTCTTCCTTCCCCGCAAAACCAACCGCACTGCAGTGCCTAAACAAAATAGGTAACAGACTCCAGAGTGCCAAATCTTCCAAATGAAACTCTCGACTTCGGGCTGTATGTAAGCTCGGTGATCCCGACACTTTACTGGATGACTTCACAATCTACCGCACTCCATGGCCCCCAAAACGGTACCTAGCATAGGTAGGCTTGGCCTTGGCGGCCGGTAAATTGTGAAGATATCTTCTCCCGAGTCCCCTACTCTGATAGTTACAGGCAAACGGCCAAACGGCCAAGCAAACTGTCGAATTGCCAAACTACCCAGGCAACCAGTCTTTGGTGTTGGCGATGACGACCTCGAAGGAAGGCCGGTCGACTGCGCGTTATATGTCAGTATATTATCTCTATGTTACCCATCAACCATGTGGACATGTTCCCCAGGGTATCACGAGCTCGGTTGATATCTGTAAGAAGAAGGCAGGCATTGGAGATACCGAGGCATCGGGTGAAAGAAGAAAAAAACTTATTTCTTTAATGCAATTACTTCGGGATACATCGAGGAAGTACCATACACTGTTTATATGTTTGATCGTAACGATAGGTGTGTACAGTGCGGCGCCGTGATGCCAAGCGATAATAGGACAGTCGTCAGGTATTCACATATTCGCACTCGTGTTGCGCAGTGTCAAGCTCGATGTAATTTGGACTCATTCTTTCCGTTGTTATTGCGTAGGTGGTTATTCAGTCATGGCGATGGCGGGGGCACTAGCCACCCATCAGCCTTCTTGTATGTCCTGTCGCTCGAGGCCTTCAGACTTTTTCAATATCTATTCATTCATACTTTCTATGGGCCCTGTCCAGCGCTATCAAAACAGTATCTTCCCATACAATCACCCATCGCTCCCCGCATTACCAACCATGTCCAACCCTGAGATGTACAATTCCAAGTACGGATCCATCGACAAACTTTCTTCGACCAATTACGATACCGGTACTTGGAAGCCCCGCATATCCGCAATCCTCTCAGCAATGCTCGCACTAAAGATTGTTACCGGCGAAGAAACCGGGAACGCCCTGCCCGCCGGAAACTCCGCTGCGAATGTCGCGAAACAAGAAAGCTTCGGAAGCGGCAAGCTCTTGCCACCACCGTCATCCTACTATCCTGCACCCACCGCAACCATTCACAAGAAATGTCGTTTCAAGGATTCGAAGTAAGGACTCCTTATTCTCCAGGGCTAGTGACAGGTGGACAGGTCAGGGTAATGCTAACCAGTAGTTCAGGTACTTGCCCGCAACAACAGCCCGCTCATCGAGGAGCTATCTCTAACTGCGCCGGACATCGCATCAGATCCTATCGATCCTATCCTACTCCAGCAGACACAGACGTGAAATCTTCAGTTGGCATCAGACTCAGGTTCACCCTCGGTACCATCACTGGTAGCAACTAAGGACCGCCGTTCCGGCATCCCTCTGGCAGTCGAAGGCGACAAAGCAATTGCCTCTCAACGAATAACAGTTGATAGGGTTCTCGGCAACCTCATACCTAGCTGGTGATGAGGTTAAGATCACTAAAACGAAGGAGATGGAGGTGGAGAGAGATTATCTCGGCATACCTCTCCCGCCGGAACGACATGCGAGTTCAGCTGGCCGGAACCGAAGGAGCTATATTGACGGAAAGTTCTATACTATACTCTCCTCACTACTCTGCTTTACGTGAGTAAACATACAACACGACTCAGTAGTGTAGGGGTATCATGGGCGCTTGCCAGCCAGCATTCTGCGCCCGACCCGGGTTCAAATCCCGGCTGAATCATAATTATTGTTTGCTTACAAATTTTTTTTCAATCATCACTGCATTCGGCGTTGGTGGACAGATCATGTCAAAGATAAGCTTTATACATGTAACGGTTCGCGATACCGTTTCCCCCGAGCTCGAACAGCGTCCTCACGCCGAGTCCACCGATACTATTTCCCCAAAGCTCGAACAGAGATCACGCCCTTTCATTCCCGCATTTCGGTTCGGCCACCATGAACTCCAGTTTTTCAATCGACCCTCTTCTTTCCGGGCCGCCATCCACCCCACCCTCTTACCAACTTCCTCACCTTGCAATCTCGCAGCGCCCTCACGCCGAGTGCACCGATACCGTTTCGCCCGAGCCCGAACAGCGTCCTCGCGCCCAGTCCACCGATGCCGATGCCATAGAAATCCCAGCGCCAGAGATTTCGGAAATAAAGACCAGAACTGCGTTGCGCGACGAGGATACTAAGGCACGATTGGCCAAACAATCAAGCTGTGCGTCAACAACTTCGAGGACTACCTGCAAACCAAGCGGAACGACGACTTCATGGACCGGACGCAAGCGACATTTGCGGCGCAGCCTGGGTTGGATGTGTCTGTGAAAAAACACCATTGTCGCCTTTGCCTTGTCCAACGGTGAATGAGCCCTTTCACAGACACATCCAATCCAGTCTGCGCAGCGAATGTTACCTGCATCCAGTCCATGAAGTCGTCCTTCCGCTTGGTTTGCAGGTAGTCCTCGAAGTTGTTAACGCACAGTTTGGCCAATTGTGCCTTAGTATCCTCGTCGCGCAACGCAGTTCTGGTCTTTGTTTCCGAAATCTCTGTCGCTGGGATTTCTATGACTTCGGCATCGGTAGACTCGGCGTGGGGACGCTGTTCGAGACCGGGGGAAACGGGATCGCGAACTGTTATGTATAAAGCAAGGTAGGTAGGCTGTCAGGGCGGGCTGCTGTACATACCGGTAGAGTATCTCTATCGCTACCAGGTTGTGAGATGAAGAAGCTGGTACATAGGAGGGTGGGGTGGATGGCAGGGCGGAAAAAGAGGAAGAGAGTCGATTGAAAAAACTCGAGTTCATGTCTATAGTGGAAGTTGTGGGCTGTGGCCGAGAAATTTTTCTCCGTTAGAGAATTTGGCCGACCGCTGAAGTTTGTTCCGTTCATGAGCACGGACATTTACAGAACCTCCCGTTTTGCTGTGCTTGTCAACGTGAACGCAACTCGCTTAGATAATCCAACAATGATGTGGCGAGCGGTCGGAGCTTGTGGACACAGCATGTCTAGTGCAAACACAGCTGCACCAGCCACACGAGGTCCGACCGGCGACTGCTCGGCACATCATGTTGGATGAGCGAGTATACCTGCATCTACTCGTTCATAAGATACAACCGCTCAACATTCTGAATGAGCTTGCCGAGTGGCAATCGAAGTCCATTCACCACTTTCGTCGCCATTTGAGCACGATCTCTTGTACAAAGCACCATACAGCCCTCGGTCGCCGCGCTCGTGCCACCCGTTTCCACTCGGCAAGCTCATTCAGAATGTTGAGCGGTTGTGTCTTATGAACGAGTAGATACGGTATAGCATTCACGTTGACGAGCCTAGAGTTCTACAGAACCTCCCTACAATGTAGGTATATACCTGGTTACCTCGATACTCCAGATATTACTACACTACATATTCGTTTCCACCCGGTATGTTTTGCTCAAGTCTCAAGAACCGAGTATGTGTGTATGGGTAGCTCACTGTAGAACCTCGATAATTTGGTCATATATAACTTCTTCACTCACTTCACTCACTTCCCCCTTCCTTATGCAGCATCATATCATATCCCTTCCTCACTTCCTCACTTCCTCACTACTTGTAGAATAGATAAAAAAACTCATCCATATCCATATCCCTCCATTCCTTCCCAGTTCCGACAGAATAAACGAACCAGAATAAACGAACCAGAATAAACGAAACAGGATATACCAGCTATGTGTATAAAAACGCCCTCCCATGCAACGCATCGCTAAACAGAGTTTCCTGGGTAATAAACAATAATCATCAAATACTAATACAATCCAATCCAATCCCCCCTTCCTTCCCACTCACTCGAGCCTCGAACTCGGCCTTGGCAGAGCACTGCTCCCTCTGCTCGCCCTCCTCGCACCACCGCCCCTAATCGCGCCTCCATCACCGCGTTTGAGAAAGACCCTCCTTGTCTCGGCCGTACCCGCCGTACCGATAGCTGATCCAGCCACGCTCGACCTTGTCCTGGGCACCTGAATCTGTCCCACAGCCCGCGCCGGCTCCTCCGGCGACACCGCAATATCCCTATCCCTATCCTTCACGCTCTGCTCGCGCGGCATCAACTCGCGCTCTCGCTGCGCCTGCACAAGGCTTGCGCTGCCACTCCTGCGTCTGCCGGGCGCGACGATGCTCGCCGATCCGCTGCGCCTTCTTCCTGCTGCGGCTGCGGCTGCGGTCTGCGGCCGGCCGAGAGACGTCTGTGGTCGTCCCATGGAGGTGTGTGGTCTCGTCTGCTGCGGCCGGAGCTCGGGCTGCGGTTCTTCGTCGCCGAATACGCTGCCTCCGTAGGCACTGCCGCCGACGCTGCCGCCGACCTCGCTGGCAGAGCTGTAGATTGCGCGGGAGCCACTAACTCTGCGTACCTGACCGAGCATTCCCTCAACCCAGGCTTGGTGCTCGGGAGTAACATTCTTTCCACCACCTCGGGGTCCAGCGAGCCCGAGCGGTGGCCGATCGTCGGTGGCACTTTCGGAGAAGGAGAGTCGGCTGGTTTGTCGTCGTAGGCCGGCGAATGATGATCCACTAGAACCTGGGCGCGATCCCGATGGAGGGCCACGTGATGCGGGGCGAGAGGGTCCGGACGGGGGAGAAGGTGTCAGCCCAAGTCCGGAAAACCCGTCGCTAGTTGGTGTCTTTGGACCTCTGAGCATTGGCGATGGGCCAAGTGACCCTCCCACCCTGGATGCATGGGACGGAGACTCCGGCTGGCCGGGGAGTAACATAGGTGTTACATGGGGCGAGATAGAACGTCTCGGTGCTGCAGTGATCGAGAACATCGGCGAGGCGTTCCTCTTGCCTCGCTCGCCACTCGAGCTGCCCGGCCGACTGCCGTATGTCGGGGTTGGACTCCGCAGGTACCCATTTGGTGTTGGGCTTCTCTGATGCTGGCCCACACTAGAGTTGCTGGCGCTATGGCGGAGGTTACGCTGACTCGGCTGACCTGAAGGGGCCTTGTGGGATGGGATCTCCTCGATTTGAAGAACGCTTTCACTAACAGCCCTCATCTTACTTCCATGGTGGAGAGCCCATTCCTTGAGATACTCCTCGAGATCGCTCCAGCCTCCTCCTACACGGCAGACCAGTCTTGCGTTGCCGACAAGGCGGACATAGAGCTTCATTGGCGGCTGATCATCGTTGCGGTGAAGGTGATAGCACTTGATGTCCCCTTGCACGCTGGCGTTGTGACGGCGAGAATTGGTCCTGGCATGTCCCGGTTGACTGCCCGAGCTCGCGGACGTGACAACGGACTTTGGCGCAGGGATGCTAGATTGCCATGGGCGTGCGGGCGGCTTCTTGACCATGTCGTTGAGTTTCTGGAGGTTCGAAGCAGTGAGCTTAACCTTTCTAGGGAGGCTCATAAGTAGTTCGTTGATCCTCTCATCCATTTCGACTTCCGGGTCTCTAGGCGGAGGAGTGGAAGGTCCCTTAGGCACATCTTGCATGTTGGCGGTGGAATTCTCGAGCCATGGACGGTCACGCTGTTGGCGCTTTTCGGGCGTGACAGTGCTGATGTAGGATTGCTGCGGCCGTGCACCGCCACGTTTGGGCAGCCTGATGGCAGGCCCGGCCGGGATATCGTAGTCTGGACTGTTGCCCCGAGCGAAACTTGGCTCATTTCCAGAGATATCGCTGGCACCGGCTGGGCTGCTATCCAAGCCGAACGGATGGCTGAGGGATGCCTGGGCCCACATTCCTCGTTTTACGGGAGTTGGCAACAGTACGTGTGCACCATCGATCTCGGGCAGGGTGGTGGTTGAGTCGTCGTTAACCTGCATGAGCTGTTAGTATCACCACACGACTACCCAAGAACCACGTACCTCTGAAGCTGGCGGTGAGGTGGAAAAGAGCGACTGAACCTGCTTCCTCGCAGGCTTTCCCTTCGCTTTGAATTTCACAGAGCCATCATCCCTTCCATCGCTCGGCGATTTCGACCGACTGGGTTGCATAGGATGTCCCCCAAGAAACTTTTTCGCATGGCTTCCCCATTCCTCCTGCATTGAGCGAGGAGTTTGAGACTCCATGATGCTTGGAAGGTCATGCGCTTTGTTACGGCGACCAAGGGGAGCGGGAGGAGGAGGGGCAGAGGTGGGAGCGGGTGGCGCCTCAAAGTCGTCAAATCCGGTAAATGAGTCGTCGCCGGGAGTAGATGCATTGAGGAAACCTTGACCGCGGTAGGGAGTGAATGGACTATCATCTCCATCAACCGAACGAGGAGACGGCAGCATTGGGCTGCTGAGCTCAAACTTTGGTGGTGACGAGCCTATGTGGAACTGGCCGATGTCCGACATGCTAGCATCGTAGTCCATATCGTCCTCGTCTTCTTCCACCACACGATCGAAATCGGAAAGGGTCTCATCGTCGATATCAGCAAAAGCTTCGCCAAACCCGTGTCCCGGGTTGACGTTACGTCCGACGTCTCCGAAATCCGGGGCTCTGTCGAAGACCGAGGGTAGAAGAGAAGCGTGCAACCTTTCAGGCGATGATTCATATCGTTCATCCTCATCAACGACTGGTGTCGCCTGTCTAGAAGTAGTTCTTGAGATCTCAATAGCCCGTTCGTCTCGATCCGAGTCCTCGGAAGTCCGTTTTCGCGTTCCAATAGACTTTCCACGAGACGGGGTAACGGGTTCGGCAGGCTGCGGCCGACTTGCCATCCCTTCAAACATGAGCCTTACGGATTGAATGTGAGAGAGCTTTCCGGGCGAGAGGTCGAAGATAGGTTTCTCGCTCTCATTCGATGTGGTCTCATTCTCGGCGACGACCATACGCGGTGCCTCGGTTGTGGAGCCATTCAGAATTCCCAGCTTGTTCTCAACCGCAGGCACGGTCTCCACGACTGATTCTACAGCTTCCGCCGGTGTCGAAACGCTCACCTCATCCTGGAGTGGAAGTAGGACCAAATCTTTCTCCTTAGGTTCCACAGGCTTAAGGACCAGGGCTGGCTTGATTGTGTCTTCCTCATCGGCAGCGGCGGGCGCTTCAACCACAGGAGCGTCCTTGACAACTAGTTCAGCCGAAACAGCCGTATCCGTGGTCTCTTCCTCAGCGCTCTTATCAACACCAGCGGCTGCAGCCGGGGTCTGAGCAGCAGCTGGCTCCGTGACCTCGTCCGCCGACGAGACAGCAGGCGAGACCTCTTGCGGCTTGACTGTGGACTTCTCCTCTTTGGGAGCCTCTTCCAGTTCAGCCGCGATGGTTGTAGCAGGAGTGATCCGTTCCAGCTGCACTGACTCCGCAGTGGTTCCCTTCTCTTCCGTCACCGCCTCCTTCTGCTCCTCGACTTTCTGTACAACTTCTACCTTCTCCATACGGGTGTCCTCTTGAAGATTACCCGCGATAACCGGGCCGATACGGGCGCTTGCGACAGAGGCGACAAGAGGAGTATCAATGACAACTTCCTCGGCTGTCTCAGCCTCGGCCGTCTCATCTTCGACCGTCTCAACGTCGGCAATCTCGGAAACGGCGTGAATAGGCTCGGGTAGCACAGGCGTCTTCTCGGTGGCGGATTCAGGAGCCATGGGAAGGGCTTCGGTCTTACCAGCATTCTCTTCCGCGACGATAATCTGCCCGAGCCCCGCAGCGGCCACCAGAGAAGATACCGACACTGCTACAGCCGCCGGTGCTTCTGCAACAATGTCACCACCGCCGACGGAAACCACGGGATCGACTGCTTCAACCACCTGTTGCCCGTCCAACTCCTCCTCGGCCGGTACGATGTCTTGTTCCTTAGCCGGGAGTGTCGGGACCACCTCTTCGACAGAAACCATATCCTCCACCGGTGCGATAATCTTTTTCTCCTCCTCTTCCTCATCCCCATCCTCTGCATCCTCATCGCCCTCTTCAATCGAGGCTAGCTCAGACTCACTGAAATCAACGGGCGCGACAGCTTGTTGCTCCTCCAGCATATCCTTAGCCTGGGCGACCTCGCATTCCGCGTCAGTTTCCGCCTCGGGTCGCGTTTCGGTGATTTCTTCGGCCTTGGAGACTTCCTGGGCCTGCGCCACTTCCTCCATTGGTACGGCTTCCTCCACTGGCAGAACTTCCTCCACTGGCGCGACTTCCTCCACTGGCACGGCTTCCTCGACTGGCGCAACTTCCTCCACTGGCGTAACTTCCTCCACTGGCGCGACTTCCTCCACTGGCGCGACTTCCTCCACCGGCGCGATTTGTAGTCTGGCGGGCCTCTCCTCAGCGGCAGCGACAACCGACGGTTCCTCGAGCCCATCTTTAGTAGTAGTGACCACTGGCACCTTCTCCTTATCCTCAGCCTTGATAATATCCTCTTTCTCGACGGAATCGACGGAAGCCATCTGACGGTACATTTCCGTGGCTTCCTCGGCTGGCGCGGATACCTGAAGCGCGGCCATTGCTACCACTGGCTCGATATCCCTTTGCCCCTCCACCTCCTCCGCCTCCTCCTCTATCCTCCCAGCCTCAGACTGCATTTCCACAGGTTCGTTGACAGAAGCGACTTCCCGGACCAAAGCAACATGCGCCAATGGCTCAACAAGCTGTAGCTTCTCGACCGGAATAGCTCCGGGTTGCGGTTCCGTGGTTTCTATGGTTTCCTCATCCTGCTGTTCAAGCCTCTCTTTGGGTTGATCCATCTCCTGCTCTTCGACGGCGGCTACGGTAGGTTGCTTTTCTGTGACTTCCTCGATGACTTCCTCGACCGGCGTGATCGCCTCCACCGAAACGGAATCCCGATGTTCTGCCGTCTCCTCTTCGGACCGCGAGGAGGCGATATCCCTAGGTGAAATAGCATCCTGCTCTTCGACCCGAGTGATATCCTGTTCTTCGACGAGGGCCACGGTGGGTTGCTTTTCCGTAATTTCCTCGACCGTCGTGACTGCCTCCACAGGAACGGAATCCCGATGCTCTTCTGTCTCCTCTTCGGACCGCGAGAAAGCGATATCCCCGCCCGAAACGGCATCCAGCTCTTCGACGCGAGTGACCTCCCGTTCCTCGACTAGATCCACATCGGACGACGTTTCCGCATCTTCTTCGGCCGCAGCGATCACCGAGTCCGTAACTCCTGCCATCGGCGAGACCCCCCTCTGCAAGCCCTCTTCCGTCTCCTGCTGCTCCTCCGGCGTCTCCTCGGGGGCGACATTTACTTCCGGCTCGGGAGCAGCGACCTCCCGTTCCTCCGCCGCAGGTTCTTCCACGACAGCGATCGCCTTCGCCTCCGCCTCAGCGGGCGTTTCCGCAATGATCAAGACCGCCGGCTCTACCGCCGCTGCGACCGCGACCGCGACTGGGGCGACATTTTCTTTCTGTTCTTTCCGGTCGAGGAGAGTAAGTTCCACCGCCTTTTCCTCGGCGGGAGTGCTAAAGACATCGGCCTCCTCGAACTCCTCGGACTCCTCGGCTGTCGGAATCGACTTCGCGGGAATATCCTCCTCCGCAGATTGCTCGTGGGCAGTAGCTTGCGCGGGCTGAACAAGCTGAACAGGTTCCTTTTCCGGCACAACATCTTCCGTCCAAGTTTCGGGGGTTCCTATCTCCAGCCCATCTTCCTCCACTTCCTCCACTTTCGCTCGTGTTTCAGCCGATGCCTCCTCCACGACAGCTGCCAAAGCCTTATCATCACCAATCGCATCCGCGCGAGTCGTTAAAGCCGGAACCACCACCACCTCCTGATCAACGCTCTCCGGCGTTCCGGGGAGTTTCACGACAGAAGTGGGGGTGTGAGCCGCCAGCTCTCCGAAACCCAACGGGGGTGTCATGAACTGCTCCGACTCTTCGGCGTCTGGATACGTGGGCGCAGACAAGAGAGCCTTATCCTCCATCGGGGCACAGGGAAAGCTAGCATCCGCTGACATTTCGGGCTGGGGTGCAGCAGGCAGTGGACCTGATCCGGAAGTGTGCAAAACGAGAGCTGCCGCCGCCGGTCCGATTTCCTTCTCCGCGGGTTCCTCCCTCATAGTGAGCGGGTCCCTCTCGGGCGAGCTGACCTCCTTCGGCGCAGAGCCCTTAGGCGACTTCGGCACATCGAACCCAGTAATGACGATCGTCGGCGACGACGGCGATACGGCATCATCCATTGACCAGTCCTTGAGCCGCTCGCCAAAAGCGCTATCAAAGAAGCTTCTCCGCTCAGTCCCCTCCCTGTTTTCGGCCTCGCTGCGGAGCCGTCCCGTATCCATGTCCGGACTCTTGATCGGGCTGCTTGCCACTTCAGCCAGGCTTCCGACACTGCTGGTACGCCTCCATCTTCTCCCGCGGTCCGCTTCGATCTCCGAGGATTGTACTCCGCGTAGGCGCATGAGTAAGCTCTTGTCGAGGCCCAACCCGATGGACTCCTCCTCCGGCTCGGAATCCGAAGTCTGGCCCTCGATCTCGATTCCTTGGGTAACATCCTCCTGGGTTTCGAGGGCTTCCATGAGGCCGCGCTCGAGCTCGCCCACCTTCTCGAGAACATCCTCGACGGCGTCTTCATCCTCGCGCGCCTTCTCCGCCACCCTCTCGCCCTCCATGACGAGCTGCATCTTCTCCCTCTCATTCCGGAACTCTTCAGCCTTGCTGACTTCTCGCAGCCGCCCCTCCAACACGACGCGTTCGGCATCCATCTCCCAGCTACTGACGCCCTCCTCAATATCTTCTAGCTCGCCGATCCACTTATCGGGCAGCACGTCCTCGCGCCCCTCCAGCGCGTCAAGCATAGAATCCATAATCCTCCCGGCCGCCGTGACGCGCTGCTGAATGTTCTCAGCCATCACGGCAAAGATCTCCTCGTCGAGCTTCTGCGACCCATCGGCGATGGCGGGGATGCGGATAGCTTCGTAGCCGGCGTCCAGGGCGTCCTGGGCATTGCCGAGCCAGCGAAGGAATACGGGGACGATCTTGAGGACGGCGAGGCGGATCGCCCAGATCGAGAGGAGCTTCATGAGCCGGTGCAGTGGCGGCAGGAGCTGCAGGGTGGTGGCGGCGATGACGGCCGACGACGAGGTGAGCGGGTTTTCGATACCGGTGCGGTAGGCTGCGCTGTATTAGCTAGTTGCATCGACATGAACATCGCCAGGAGAGTGCTGCTGCTTACAGAGAACCTTTCCTTTCAGTCCTTCGACGTCCAGTTCTTCGACTGCTTCGGTGATGGCTTCGATGCGCTGTTCGTAGTACCTCACGGTCACCTTGGCGAGCGAGCCGTAGTAGTCATCCGGGTCGATCTCATCCTCCTCCTCGTCAGACTCTTCCCTCACGGCGAGGTGCTGGCTGTGGACCGGTGTCGATGGAGCTCGCGAGCCATTAGTGCTGGCCGCCAACGCTTCCGGAAAAGACCTCGGAGCGGCGTGTTTCTGAGGCGTAGACGGTAATGGCGGGGAGTTCGATTTACCCGCGATGGCCACCGCCGCTCTCTTCTGCATCTTAAGCTGCATCGGAGTCAACGGCTTCCCTCCGCGGTTGACCCTCAGATCGCCCATCCGATCCGCAGCACTGCCAGGAGTAGGACTGTCGGGCTCGTTCACGCTGGAGTACGCTCCCAAATTACCGACGGGGCTCTCGCCCTCCTCCTCAGAAATAGTCCGCATCTCCTCGACCGAGTCCTTGCGCAGACTCATCTTGCGGCGCTTCCTCCGCATGCCAGGCTCCGGCGGCAAGTAGCCATCGCCGTTCTTGCTTCCCCTACCCCAGGCGATATTCCACCCCTCGACCTCCCGCAGCCACTCGCCAACCCTGGTGATGCCCTCGGCAGCACGCATGCTCCACGCCCTCTCTTCGGCTGTGAAGCCCAGCTCGGGGTCGTTGGCCATCTCCCGCAGGGCAGTGGGGGTCAGCCGCGACAACAACGGGTCGGTAGCCAGCAGGGCCTGGATCCGCGAGCGACGCCCCGACCGCGTGGGGGATACCGACGGCGAGGAGTAGTTTGAGCGACAGGGCGAGGTCATGGCGCTCCGTGGGGCACGGTAGTAGTGGCTCCCCGGGAATGCCGACGGCTGCCGGGGGGTCTTTGGCGGAGCCGCATTGAAGAACGAGGTGACGGCCTGTGGGGGCGTGGTCGAGAAGGGGGACAGCGGCGAGGGCGTCACCGGTGCGTGGCTGTGGAGACTGTGGGCTGATGGGGGCTCGGGACGGCGGAACCGGGCAGAGCTTGGGGTCACCGGTAGGGGTGAGGGACGGTCGGGGGTCCAGCCGGGTGGAAGGGCAGACATTTGCAACGACGGACTGTTGTTTGCGATGAGATTCTGCTGCTGCTGCTGCTCGTGATGCTGTACGGCTGTGAGTGGTCAGTCGGGAGGAACGGGGGTGGACAGGAGGCACTGATGGTGGTGGTGACGAAGGAAATTCGAGCACGACACGATTTCTCAGAAGCAGAGGCGGCTACCAAGGTGTGCTTTGGATTGTGGTCCTTTCAAAGGTGGCTGGAGGGTCGGGCGTCGGGGCGGGCGGGTGGTTGGTCGATAGGGCTGTCGGTCTGTGCTGTGCTTCGTTGAGGGGAGAAAAGAGTCGCTGTCTGCGGAAAGAACGAGAAGTATCAAAGACCAGCCAGTTGGTACAGACCTGCAGCGCGGCGGTGCTAGCGGGAAGTAGCTGCTGCTGCTGTCGTTTTTGACGCGATAGGTTAATCGCAGTGCCGGGGGTCACGACGGTTGATTGGCTGCCGTGTCACCGTGACGGATCGATGTCGAAGTCGGCGTGGAGAGGTGGTATGAGGGACGAGGAGTCAACGCAACGCTGCAGAAGATGGGGTGTCGCAGAGGATGAGGGCAGAGAGTCGGGAGGAGGACATTGGCCCTGAGTCGATTGGATGTTGATCGCGGGGGAGTGGGTGCTGGGACGAAGTTGCGAGGTTGCGCGGCGAGTGGTGATTGGCTGCTTCGTTTCTCGATGTTAGCTGGTGGCGGTAATGGAGACGAGGACGGAGACAATGACCGAGACGGAGACGAATGCGGGGACAGAGACCGAGACGGAGACGAATGCGGAGACAGAGACCGAGACGGAGACGAATGCGGAGACAGAGACCGAGACGGAGACAGAGGCCGAGACGGAGATGGACGCGGGATCGGCAGACAACAAGAAAAGACGGCAATGAGAGTGCGCGCGGACGCGGCGATGCTATTGGCGCTGGTGATGGTGATGGTGGTGCGTCGCCACTTTCACGTGGAGGATGAGGATACCGGTACCATGCTGGAGGAAGGAAGAGATGGGAAAGCTGGAGCTGGCTGCAGGGAAGCCGAGAGAAACATGGCTCGAGTTGTATCTATCGGCGAAGCCAGCCATTCCACTTCTTTTACCCCCGGATCTCTCTCCTTTCGTTCTCCCGTGTTGCCTGCGAAATACGGTAAGAACGGCCCATCGATCACGGGACAAACAGGACACGCTCGAGCCCCATGGTGAACATGAGCCGATTGCGGTCTCAACTAAGGCGCGGGGGGGCGAAGGGAAGCGAGAGCTTGAGACCTTTTCATCTCCGGCTTCCTATCGATATCGGCAGAGAATCCTCTCGAGGCGTGAAGACATCTCGAGACGTGGAGACATCTCCAGCTGTCTCGTACCTCTTCCACCAGTCGTCACAGCTCTCTTTATCCAGTTCATCCGCCTCCCGCAGTCGACACGCTTTTCTTATTCGATCTCCGTCCGGCTGCACGGATCGGATCGAGAGTCGGACAGGGGCAGATGCGGACTGTGCAGGGAATGCAGCAGAGCCGCGCCGCTGAAAACTCATCGAGAAAAACTGGTGGTGCGGACAGCGAATCAAACATATCGGTGTCATCGCGATGTCGTTGTTTAGTAGCATGCGAGGGACAGCGCATCGCTGGAGCCAGTCTTCGCTCCATCTTCCCCTCGCCCGCATGGAACGTTCTTTGTCCGGTTCGCGCTGACTAAGCCCGGAGAACCCATACACTCCTGTTCCTTCACGGTGGAGCCGACGACCGCAGATGCAACTCAGGCTTCCACGGCCTTCGCAGTCTCTGTTCGGCTTGCGTTCGGTAGAGTGTGTAATGGCTGGGAATGAATCACACGGATCACTCGATTCAGCAGTGTATGGGGTAATTAGAGTATCATGGGCGCTTGCCACGAGCACACACTCCAGATGATCTCTCTAATCCTGGCTGAATGGAGCCTCCCACTTGCTGGAGGAACGTTGGCTTTGGAGCACCCGTTGATTTGAATGGCTTCTCTAACAATCCAGTGATATTTGGCAATGCCATTTCATTCAATGCCTGAGCAACCGTCTCCGCCAATCATACACCCCCTTGACCGGCATCGTGATTCTCCCCGCCCCCCACCGGGGCACCGCCCATGAGATCTGCATCACGTGCCGCCCCTATCTGCAAGGGGTGGAGCCTCTTCGCGCACCCACGAGGTCCACGGACGGAGATCAATCTATCGCTCCCCTCTCACACTTTTCACGTCCACGACATTCCCGAATAACGACCTCGAAACGATAATGACCCTCTCCACCTGAATAGACTTCCGCCATACGAACCCCCTTCTCTTGCCCCATTGCGCTTCACGAAACACACCAGTAGCTACGTGCAGCAGAAGCCTCCCACTCGATGGCGCCCACAGCCTACGAACCGGTAGTCCGGGACTCGCTCGAGCTCGCCTCGCTCGCCGACTCCGACTCGGAGCACACGCACAGCCACCGCTCGTCGCTCTCCTCGTCCGCCGGCATCTCGTCCTCGCGCCGGCTCTCCCTCGCCTCCGACGGCGACCCCGAATCCGCCTCCCCCTTCCGCAACCGCACCTACTCCGTCTCCTCCGCCTTCGACTTCAACACGCACCTAGTGCCGCTCACCTCCTCCGCCGACGGAGCACGCTACCAGCCGCTCGGCGCGCCCTCGGGCTCCGGCGGCGCAGGCGGCAACGGCGCCGTAGGCGGCCTCGAAAAACAAAAGACGCTGTCGTTCCTGAACGGGCTGTCGCTGCTGATCGGGCTCCAGATCGGCTCGGGCATCTTCTCGAGTCCGAGCCAGGTCAACAACCATGTGCCGTCGCCGGGGGTGTCGTTGATCGTGTGGGCTGTTGCGGGGGTGCTCGCGTGGACCGGCGCAGCGTCGTACGCCGAGCTCGGAGGCGCGATCCCGTTGAACGGCGGCAGTGGAGTGTACCTAAGACACTGTTTTGGCGAGATGACGGGGTTTTTGTTCTCGTGGACCGCGGTCATCGTGCTGAAGCCTGGCAGCGCAGCGATCATTGCTATCATCTCGGGGGAGTATATCAACCGCGTGCTGCTGGGGAGCTTCAGTGCGGATAGCAACGCCGAGCTGCCGAGTATGTGGGCTAATAAACTCACCGCCGTGTTGTGTTTTCTACTGGTCACGGCGCTGAATATTATATCGACGAGACTCACCACGAGGTTGAGCGATGGGATGATGTTTTTGAAGGTTGGGACGCTGCTGGCGATCACGGTTATTGGCATTGTCGTTGCTGCCACGGGGATCAATGGTGACGGTAAGGGCGCGAATACCGAGTGGAAGGATCACGGGTGGTTCGAGTCGAGGCCGGGAGGTGTCGGTGAGCGACAGGATGATATGGTCGGCGGATTGGGGGAGTACGCGATCGCACTGTACGCGGGATTGTGGGCGTTCGACGGATGGGACAATGTACCACACCCTCCAAGGCACACTATACGAGCCACAGCTAACATCACCAGGTCAACTATGTCACCGGTGAGATGCGCAACCCAACACGCGACCTCCCGCGCGTAATCCACACCGGCATGCCCATCGTGATTGTGTCTTACCTCCTCGCCAACGTCGCCTACTACTTCGTCCTCTCCGGCAGCGTGATCGGCAGCAGCAACACCGTCGCCGTCGCCTTCGGCACCAAAGTCTTTGGCCCGATCGGCGGCGTGATCCTCGCCATCGTCGTCTCGCTCTCCTGTTTCGGCGCACTCAACGCCACCACCTTCACCTCCGGCCGCCTCGTCTACGTCGCCGGAAAAGAAGGCTACCTCCCCTCGATCTTCGGCACGCTCGGCTTCGGCCCCCCCTCCGCGCCGCGCCCCATACGCTCCACCCCTTCCACCCTCACTACGCGCATCCTCACCTTCCTCCGTCTCACCCCCTCAGAAGACCGCCCCGCCCCCTGGTCGCGCACGCCCGTCTACGCCATGCTCCTGAACGCCGCATTCACGACATGCTACATCCTCGTCGGCGAGTTCGGCACGCTGCTGACGTTCTACGGTGTCGCAGGGTACACGTTCTACTTCCTGACGGTGCTGGGCCTCATCGTGCTGCGCTACCGCGAGCCGAAGCTGGAGCGCCCCTATAGAACGTGGATCTCGACGCCGCTTATTTTTTGCTGCGTTAGTTTGTTTTTGATTTCGAGGAGCGTGTTTAGTTCCCCCCTGCAGACCCTCGTGGTGTGTGCGTTCGTGGCGGCTGGTGTGCCGGTGTATTTTTGGAGGGTGAGGGGGTGGAGGTGGGGGGCGTGGGGGAGGGCCGCCGGAGCGAGAGCGTAGAAAGGTGCGTAGGGGGAGGGGGGGAAGGGGGGTGCAATGTATATATGTATGTGACGGAATTGTTTCTTTCTTGTGAGTGAGTGTCGAGGCGGCGCAAACTTCAAAGAGGAGGCGTCACTGGTTTCACGTCTTTGGTTGCGGCTTGGGTTTTTGGACGGTTTTGGACTGGACTGTATACTTTTAGTTTTATTATGTTATTATGTACTGATGTTGAGGTTGAGGTTGATGTTTTTGGTAATGCGGGGGGTTTCGGCTGGTGGTAAAGGTCGTGGTGCTATGGGGGTGGGGGGATGCGGCGATGGGACTGGCGATGTCCTCGGGCACGCGAATGGCTACGCAAGTAGGTAGGTAGTAGGTACTGCCAGGCTGGAATTAATGACAAAGAGGAGTTTTTAGCTGGTGGTACAGTGGGGGATGCAGTGATGGACTATGGCTGTCCTGGGAAGAATCATGGATGAATCATACCATATCACCCGTTTGGTATCATTCTCTTCGAGCGTCCATTCGGTCGTTTCAGACGACAAACAAGTAGCAACCCCCCAGTGAAAACAAAGATTGACACCGTACATTTGCCATTCGGTCTTGAGGCCCATGAGACCGCCTCTCAGCGTTTTCTTTGGTGGTGGGATGCAACGATGGGACTATGGCTGCCTTGGGGTGTCAGATGGGACTATGGATGTCTTTGGGCACGCGAATGGCTACTTAGGCAGGTAGCCAGACGCTCGGAGGACCGGTGGTGGGTGCTTGGAACATTCGGTGCGGTAGCGGGCCCACGTTTGGTTTTCTTTCTCTCTCTCTCTATTTCCCTCTCTCTCTTTCTTGTACCTGTAGCTCCAGACCCCGAATATACATGCCACTTCACTTCTCGCCAACTCCGTCGTTTCAGTGAATCGTTTCCAGGAGTCCTTTTAACAATGAGACCACCGCTCGGTGTTTTGTCTGGTAGAATTTGAGGATTGTAGTTGCACGTTATAGGTAGTAGACCTCGGGATCCATAGGTTATGTCCTCAGGTTCCATAAAGCTTCCTCCGCACGAGCACAATAGACATACCGGTAGTAATATTACTTTGTCACTCCGCTCTCACACACACCACAACTTCACCACTCTGCTAGAGCCTTCCGAAAGTAATCGTCAAGCTCGTCCGCCGAGATAGTTACCTGTCTACAAATCCTACATACCGTTCACACTTCAATGGCTCTCCGCGGTGCGAACTCGTCCACCCAACCTAATCCGGCTTGTAAAATTTACCCTACCACCAGACAACTAGCACAGAATTATACCTACTCAGAAAAGCCATTCGAGAGGCCCTTCCGGCGTACTATTACCTACCTGCTTACCTGCTTACATACTTACCTGCATCCGGCTGGGCTCGCGGTCTTGTACCGGATGTATGTAGCTCCTCTTCCATCAGCTTTTCCTCTTCATCTCTACTGCGAAACCCCCGTAGGTATGTACCTAGGTACCCAGCTCACTGCGCGTGATTTCGTAGGTAGCCTTTATGAAGCGGCATACCAGGTAGGTGGTGAGGCCCCTTCCCGCCTCACTGGCGCACGTCAAGAGGCGAATCAGCGACGAGAAATTGAGAGAGGCCCACCACGGATCAAGAACCGCCGGTACACCACTAAGCGGCCTAGAAAGAAGACCCTAGATCTGCTCCCAGCCAAAGCGCCAAAGAGGCTCGCTGCCCGATTTTATTAACTGACGACGGGGTACGCCCTCACGGCTACGTACCTGAAATTGATCAAGAAGTGAGATCAAGATCACTGCTGCTGGTGCAACAAACCAATTAAAAAATCACGAGAGCACTTGTTCAAGCACTGCCCACGGTAGAGAAGCCAGCAGAACGCCATGTGGGCGAAGGTTGGGAAGAAGACAAACAGAAGAAAGGATTACCACGGTTCGCCATAGTAAAGATAGGCTGCATGCGAAATAAACTGAAGATCTCTCTCTCTCTCTCTCTCTCTCGTTTCCGCAATTGTAGCATGATCTAGATAGATCTAACACACTATGATAAACAGAAAGAAAACCCTATCGTTTTCCCAATCGAGACGACAAAATCTCGGAGAGCGGCCATCCTAAGATTCTGCAGTCTGCTCCCCATTTCTCTCACTGGAGCAGTGATGGTGTAGGTTCGTCCCGCCAGGCCGCACCAGCAGCTGGGACTTATCTTCGCTATGTATGATACTTCTTTCTTTCGGTGGTTCCCTTCAGTCTCAATCATACCTCATCCGTTTATATTTCCTGACTGTATGCAATAAAATATGACCTTGATTCACCTAATTTTCTGCTGGTATTCATGCCTCTCAATGGCTTCCACTATCTAGGTAGTGGAAACAGCTCGAGCAAGGAGATGAGACAGTTGTATTGGTCTCTATTCTTGGAGGCCAATACCGGGGGATTTGCAGCAGTCCATCACACCGGCTGCCTGTGGATTTAGAATATATTGTAGTGGCTGGGAAAGGAAAAGGTAAGTTCGGTTGGGTTGCTATTTTGGATATGTAAGTAGGTAGGTATGTAGATACCACTGGCTTTGAGGCCTGAGCGGCGACAGCCCTCAGTTGGAGATACGGATCCCCAGCAGCAGCGAGGGGGCTCAGGTGATAGTAACGGGTGGTCAGGTGAGAATGCCGGATAGACAGATGTCGGGTATCATCTAGGTACATACTTTAGAGATATACGCGAAGCCGGCGAAGCAACTATCAATATCATTCCTGTCGGCGCGGCTATAGTCTATAGATAGGCTACTGTACCGGTCGCCTCAACGTTGAAATGTCCTCTGTTGCTACTTTTATGTTCGTCTGGTCGGCCGGTCTCAAGACACGAGACATCAGATGTTATCATCACGCAGGCAGTATTAGTCCAACATCGCGGAGATACTTTGAGGTTGTTCGGCGTGAAGAACACAGGCTGCTTTCTTTTCTTGTTGCTTGCGTTCAGTCAGTCTCTCCAGTTGCCCGTGCTAGTCGGAGGTCTATGTTCCGCCGTCGTGATTGCAGAAACGACACGCCTACAAGTCTGGATGGTAGCCAGCGAATCGAGTGCTGATTCGTGCGGCCGATCTGGGGTATCCCTGCAGCCAAGAAAACCGCCAACAACACGATCGGCGTCCCTGCAGGCACCGATCTAGGTATCAACTCTACAAGCCACCTCAGAAGTTCAGTAGCATTGCTTTTTACATACCACGTCTCCCTTCATTCCCATCCTCTCCACCATCTCCCGTCACCACCGCCACAAACTCCAGCATGTCTCTCGACCTCTCGCTCGCGCCCGTCCCCACCGCCGCGATCACCGAATCGTCCCTCGAGGAGCTCATCACGCACGGCATCGCGCTGATCAACACGCTTCCGTCGCGCACGGCTCCACCCAGCGCATCGACCGGCGAAACCAAGATCTCGTGGTCGGCCGGCAAAGGCGACGCCGAGACGAAGCTCTGGAAAGCCACGCACAACAACGAGCCATGGATCGCACGTGTCACGGATCTGGACGGCATCGGATACGCCGAGCTCTGGCGCCGAGTGGTGGAGGAGAAGAGTCTCACCGAAAAGACGGTGCTGATGCAACCTCACGACGAGATTGAGAATGTCGGCGAGGAACGTGTGTTTGGCGATATCAAAGTGATCGGTATGCATACCCCCTCCTCCTCCTCTCCCCCCTGCCTACAAGCATCATGGAAATTTAACCGATGCAGATGTCCACAAGCTCCTCCACGTCCAAGCGTTCTCGGCTCGCGAGTTTCTCGAGACCATCGTTTACAAAGACCTTTCTCCGAAGGACGGACCCAAGTGCTGCATCATCATCTCGATGCCTACAGCGGGCGAGATCAAAGACCCCGCACACGCCCACGGCGTATATACGTCTGTCGAAACCCTCCGCGAGGTTGGAGATGGGAAGGTGGAAGTAATCATGTCCCTCACTGTATGTTCTCCCTTCTCCGGTTCACGCGTCTGCTATATCCTCCCCTCTGCATGTGCGAGTACTAATGCTGCCTAGAGTAATGCGGGCGGAAACATTCCGAGGTGGATGCAGAACATGGCCATGGCGGGACAGATTCTCAGCGACGGACAGAGATTCTTCAAGTTTCTCCGTGAGCAGCCAAAGCCGGCTGAGGTTTGAGCCTGCATACCTACACTACACTAGACCATAGATAGAAAGTTGCGTGTCAATATATATAAATCGTGTGAGCCTTCATCGATTCAGTAGTGTAGGGGTATCATGGGCGCTTGCCATCCAGCATTCTGCGCCCGACCCGGGTTCAAATCCCGGCTGAATCAGAAATCTTTTGTGGATATTATTTTTATTGCCGGTTTATTGAGGAGTTTGCAGGACGACTGGAACTGGATCATCGGAACACGTCAGCTCTCGGTGGATCGTAAACGATAAGAAGTTGTGAATCATCTTGTTTTTTTGAAAATAGGTTGTGGATCGTGTGTGATAACAAGTTGTGACGCTGTGATTCTGTGATTCTCTGGGACCGTTGGACGATGAAGTGCGCATTATAAGACTCGGAACTTGGAGTCTTTGCAAGATATGTACTTCACTCCCAAAGCACAAATTCAAGCGCCCAGCGAAAACAAACCGGTGAGCTCGGGTTGATTCACACCGTGAAGTGCTTCATGTTATCTGTTGTTTAGGCACCAAGGCCCTAACTACATATGCTGGATTCACCGACTGCTACGGCCTCGAGCGTTTGCAAATGTCTTTGCTTGACTGGCCAGAACCAACCTTGGTGTTCCATTCTGTGTGAATTATCAATCAATGTGTTTCCTTGCTTACTCGCCTGCTTGTTTTCTTCCTTAGACATCTCCCGCCACTATCCGACCCCGCTTCCCCACCACCACCACCGGTCAATGGGCCATAGCTACCTGGCTTATCGTGATTAGGAGGGCTAGATGCTGCTGCAGCCGTCTCAATAAGAGTACCATACATACTATACCCTTCACCGGCGCAAGGCGAGCGCGGAGAAGAGCCTCCTTGAGAGTGAGATGCATGCATGCCTTGGAGATCCTATGTAGGTATGTACCCGATGCCTGTCCGCCCGTCCGGCCAGCCGGACGATCAAACGATGGGCTGGGCTGGCTAAGCTGGCTAAGCTGGCTAAGCTGGCTAAGCTGGCTGGGCTGGACTGCGGCTGGTGGAACGCTCGCTCGGAAGGCCGGGCCGAGCCCGCCCGCCGCTTCGACCTTCGATGGTCCACAGATACTGATCTGATCTGATCTACGGATTGGGAACCGGGCTTGAGACGTCTAGGGTACCTAGGTAGGTGCGTGAGTGGGTAAGGTGGGATTGGTATCGATGCAGGCGGATGACGACTGGGCTGGGGCAGTCGGGAGGGAGGGGGGGGGGGTTGTTATGTGTTATGTACATATGGCATACGTATACGGTAAGGATTCCAATGCACTCTGGTCAGTGAGATACCTAGAGTACCAGTACTTCCACATCAACCGGCCTGCAAGCGGCTACTCTACGCTGGGTATATCTGTCTATACCGAGCGCCAAAAAAAAATAGGTTGGGCCCGGCTGGGTTGGTTGGAGCTCAGTAATTACTTACTTGGGTATGTACCGGGGCGGCAGGAAGTTGATATGTATGTATGTCGAGCTTCGACCTCCCCCTAACCCTCCCCACGATGCCGCTCTCTCCCCACATTCCGGAAAATTGTTCCCGCGCAGGCCGGATTATTGTGCTTATCCGGATCCCTGGGGTATATACTCGCCTCCGTACCTATCGTAGAGTAGATCTGGGGGAGGGGGGGCTCTACAGTAGCGTATCGTATCGTAGATTATCGTAGATTATCGTAAAGTAGAGCAGGGCGGACTTGCGCACACACACACTGCACATGTAGCTGAGGACACATTTCCTATGGATGAAGATACTTACCTACCGTACTCTAGGTAGAGTACATAGGATAGGTACGGCAGTCCACTGTCCACGGCTAGTTCGTAGTTGGTCGGCATCGGCTTTCCCACCGAATCGATCACCTTCCTCTGCCCCACCCACAAAACCCTCCGCGATATCGATGAGCAATTTTGCATCATCTGCCGACCGCTATGTATGTACTTACTCCAGAAATTCGCTCAATCTGACCCACCGATCAATGAGGAATGACTGTTTGGATTCGACTACTCCAGAGTAGAGTACTCTAGCGGGGGCTTATTCGAAACAGTCGTGCATAGCCCATCACTCGTGCTGTCCTGATGTGCTTTGGGATGCGCCACCAAGGTGCTTAGGTTGGTAGGCTCTTCGCGGCAAACGGTCATATCAGGTAGGGCATTGGCTGACTGGCTTGGCTGGGCATGCTGCCTGACCTCGGTGAGTGGCCGCAGCCAAACCGTGTTACCGCACCAGCGCCGCCCGTCCGCATCCGCCGCTCGCATGATGTCCATGCCAGTCATCCGACTGGTTGATGCCATCTTTAAGCAGCAACCAGGCCATCAGCGAATCGGAATGCGCCTTGGCCCCAAACATTGAGTCAACCTCCTCCTCCTCCTAGGCTCTTCCTCCTCCATTCAGACCCCTCGGGTGGGTCCCCGCCAAACGAGCGAATTGGGCATCATCAGATTTGCGCAAGAATCGCGATCTAATCGGCCGGCATTCCCACAAGTTTTAACCACTCGATGCGGCTGCAGGCCCATACATAATCTGCATATTCTACACCCTCTACACCCTCTACATATTCAGCGTACTACATACACACTCTACACACTCCCCGAGGCCCACCACAGTCGCAAAGAAAAGAAAAGGTTGGAAAAATCACTTGATTGAAGGACGATGTGCGTCTGCATGCCTAGTTTATGCCTACCTAGTTCAGTTCTGTTCTGTTCAGCCTAGCCCCAACGCCACATGGGGAAATAAAAACCCCCAATTCAGGCTTTCGCACGCACAGCTCCCCCTGCCCTGTGCCCCAGCTGCCCAACCCACCCCCCATGTCATGTTGAAGCCGGCAACAGGGTGCTGGTGGTGGTGGTGGGCCGCCCGTTTATTTTTTATTTTTGTTAATCTTTGGCTCCCCGGACTAGAGTTAGCATGGGCTTGGCTGGGTTTTTAATATGTTCGCGTATCGCGGTTCCACGGAATAATAAGTAGGCCGGCAGTAGTAGTAGTGGTAGTAGTAGTAGGATATAGTAGTAGTAGGAGTAGCAGTAGTGGAAATTAGTAGCAGGAGTAGTAAGTGGCTGCCCTGTGCCAGCCGTACCCTAAACCTCTGCTGCTCCCTGTTCGCCGACGAATGGGATGGGAAGAGGAAGAAAGAAGGAAAGAAGAAAATAACAGCCCATGTCCGGTGCATACCAGAGCAGCAACCAACACGTGAAAAGAATCCCATGCAGTGAGAGGAAACAAAGGGATTGCTGTGTTAATGTGGTTACTGTATGTATGTATGGTGATTGTGTATGTATGTATGGATGTGTATGTATATGTGTATGTGTGTATGTGTGTGTGTGTGGTTGCCGCAGTCTACTAGTACATACCGGTGTCTACATACCTATGTGTGGTTGGTGTATGTGCTGTGCGGTCGCTGTGTGTACAAGTGGCTGCTCGCTGTAGGTCTTGCTCTAGGTACGTACCAGGTAGATATGCATGCATGCTCCCTTCTTGTTCATCGCCATCTTCTTCTTCTCCTTCTTCTTCTTCTCCGACTTCGATCAAGCGCCTGCACTTCACTTCCTCCTCCTAAAATTTCCATTTCCATACGGAGCCCCTATGTACCTAAATACCTACCTATAGTAGCAAAACTTCGCAGCCACTGCGCCGTCGTGAAAAGGAAAAGGAAAGGAAGGTTTATCTCCAATCAGATATCGAAGCAGCACGAAACCCAAACCCAAACCCAAACCCAAACTTGGGAGTTTCCTGTCAAATCACCCAGCAGTTTCCCCCCATAATCTGCTGCATATCACCCGATCGGTGTGGGCTCTTTCTGATCCGGAAAAGAAAAGAAAAAGACCATGGAAAGGCCAATGAAACGCGCCAGCTGAAGGCTCTACTACTGAAATCTTCACACTTACATATCATACCAGGTGTGGGTCCGCGTGTGTGCGTGTGCGTGGGAAAAAAATAGCGCGGGATGAAAGCGGATTAAGAACTGCATGCGCAACCAGTGTGCAAACGCAGGGGAACACCGATTGCGTTCAACTTAGTAAGTCATGTGCAGGGGGGAGGACTCAGGAGGGTGGGACGGTTGGCTGGCTGGGTTAGCGATAGTTCCGCCTGGGGACTCACGATCCGACTTTAGATCTTGCAATTGGCATCGAGGTTTTTGTTTGGCAGCACGGCTGGACTGGTAAGTTTAGTACCGCATGTTTGGCTGCAGTGATTGGACCGGTTAGCTATGGACAAAAGGCCGTACGCGGTAGGACATTGGTTATTGGTCGTTGGGCATTGGCTATTGGGTGATGTGCCGTCGAGACAGCAAAAGTCGCAACGACATTGAGCTCTGGGGGAATACCTACTAACCTACCGACCGTACTCACCTATGTTTCCCGCATAAGCAGCAGCATCGGTTTGTTTGTTGGATGGTTGGTTGCGCGAGATACGCTGCGGCGGCGGTTTCAGTCATCTTCCCTAGTAGCACTCTACCGTACGATCCGGACCAGCAGCAGCGTGATCCTTCCGTATCGCCAACGAGCGCGCCTGCGAGGAAAGGAAGGCCTATCTGGGAATTCCGCAAAACGTTGAGTGGTTTTCACCGACGCCGCGTGTGCGGTGCTGTGCTGTGCTGTGCTGTGCTGTGCTGTGCTGTGCTGTGCTGTGCTGTGCTGTGCTGTGCTATGCTGTGCTATGCTGTGCTATGCTGTGCTATGCTGTGCTTATTTTTTTTTCCCAATCCACGAACGAGCGAACCTGAGATGGCGACGGGGCGACGGACGGAGAAAGCAAAGCAAAGCTCGAATCTGACATTTGATGCGGAATCGAGGGGGAGGGGGGGCACAGATAACGGGGGGGGGGGGGGGTAGGTAAATAAGAAGGTACGTGACTCTGCGAGGTTTGTGTGTGTGTGTGTGGGAAGTGTGTAGGCAGAAAATCACCGCTACCCCACACTATCGCCCGCGCACTTGAAGAATGAAACTGCGTGGGCTGATGTTCCTGGTCACCGCGGGAGGATGGGGGGGAGGGCTTGTGT